CAAGCTCATAGGAAGTTCCTCCCTAAATCTATTCGAGTGTTGCCATTGGTGCCATCTTCATATATCTCCCCACTGAATCTCTCTAATACATTCCCTGCATGTGGGAGTTCGGAGTGAAATGAGACTCATTTTGTCTTTTTTGGCCATATTGCTGTACTCCCCAAGTCTCTTTATATTATATTTCTCACAGAAAAGCTCAAAGAAATCTATGCTAAAGGAATACTAATATAGTGAAGTGAAACATTGAAAAGTCATTAGCCTGTGTGTAACTGCTTCCACAACTTTTAATGTGTGCAATATGATGATCTTGAGTTATATGGTGTGTCATGGTTTTCCTGTTCCTCCTTCTGAGCACAGATGAGGCATTATGTACAGAGCGAGGCAGCTGAGCTGTAGCCAGTTATTGTTTTCACTTTTAACAGAACAAAGAGCTGCCTTATTGCTCTGTGTGGTGCATGATGGCCATCACTGATGTGGCACCCCAGAGTTGATCAGGTGCTATTGTGTTGATTGTGTCCCTCTGGAGCAATGGTTTCTCCTCAGGTACTTGTGTAAAATACAGAAAGAAGGGGTCCAGAAAGAAAATTGCTTGTTTAATTGTGTAAATTGCAGTAGTGCTGGGAGAAGCTGATGTAGTTTCAGCCCTGTCTTTGCTATCATCTGAGCGTGCCCAGTTGGTATTTTGTGACCTGCATCCTTGGGCTCACCTTGAGAACGCTCAGGAAGGTTCCACCTTGACAAACAAACACAATTCTTCCTTTCTGAACAGACACTGTTACATCCCCAGGTCAGATAAGGACATTGCGTATGCACTGGGCTCACCTTCCCACCCTGTAAGCTTCTCCAGAGTCTCTTAATGCAGTTTCACAGCAAAGGCGGTGTCAGTACTCACACACACAACAAAACGTGGCAGTTCCGTGGATGTGCAGAGGTTCCTGGAGGGAACTTTTTTGTGCTGACTTTTTAGATTCTTTGGGTTGCAAAGTAGCTTAACCTAAAAAGCGATTTTAGTGCAGTACTTCTGTCCCTGGTTTGGAATGGGCAGGCTTGCTTTGGCGATGCTTTTTTCCACTGTGCCAGTCTTGGCTGGTGACCCACATGACACTTGTTTCAGTTCAGTTTATCTTACAGAAGAGTTCATAGAGGACACAAGCTATGCAGTGCTGGTCTGAAATTCCTCTTGACTCTTTAAAGTTGACTGCTTTTTCTAATCTCTTGCCGTCTCCTGTGAGACATACTCATTGCCAGAATTTCTTAGTACCATATGAGCTGTTGGTATTCTTGGCTCTGTTTTAAATGAGTCCAGCTTTTTCTGCCTGTCTGAAAGAATCAAACTGTGTAGGTTTCAAAAAATGTCCTCAAGACTGCCTCTTTTCCATCCACCTGCCCCACAGCAAAAAAATGATATATTTAAATGAAGATTGCTAGTTTTTTTGTTATGTTTTCCTGCTTTCTAGCTTTCTGCCAAACCAGCTCTTGGTAGCTCTAACACTGAGTTTGGAGCAGAGGCAGGAGTTTAGTTTGCTAAACTCAAAGCTGTTTTTACAAAGCCATCTGGAGTGCTTAGCCTCAGCCTAATTTTGGGTTATGTAGTCTAGAGTTTATAATATTGCCAGGACCAGATGCAGAAGAAGAAATGAGAATGTACGTGTGTTTTTGAAAAACTTTCTTGTACTGTGTCTGGGCTCCCAAATGCAATATTATAATTGTGAGATGCTGGCCAAAGCAGTGAGATTAAAGGAGGCCTTTGAGTGAAGGGACTGAGATCGTCTGGCGCACAGGAGATCAGTCCAGAAACAAGAGAGTAGGCTGAAGAGGCATGAGGTTGCCGGGGACAAGACACATTATGAATTGTAGGAGCATTATTTGGTCAGTTGCTGTTGTACTTGATTTTGCCAAAGCAATACCGACTTCGTGTTTGTTTAGCATTTTGCCAAAATGTACCAATACTATCTGGTTTTTAGCTGCTTTCTGTCCTAGGCTGCCTTCTGCCCCTGGAAAGGAAGCCTTTAGCATTGTTTCAGGATTGCTGTTAAACACTGTCTGAGTAGCAATGACCCTTCTAAGGGTTAGCTGAGCTTCAGCTGAAACCCTTTCTTTGGGTATTGTGTTGTCTTGTTGAGAGAGAACATCGTCCCTTCTGAAAAATGGGAAAGCTGAACCACTGGGAGAAGCTTTTTAATATTTTCACTTTCAAAAGAGAATGACAGCTACTGAGATTTATAAAATTTTAAAACATTCCAATTTAAAGCTCTTTAATTATTGAATGCAGACAACTTCTCCATAGGCAGAGCAACCATGGAAAGAGGAAGTGGGACATTTTGATCCTGTTCAAGGCCAAAGGTGGTCTATAAACTTTGGAGGGACAGACAGCAGTCTGGCATAAGAAAATCTGGTTTTACTACCAGATGGTAAATTATTTAGAGCGCTAAACAGTTGAAAAAGATCAAGTCCATGAAGCATCTGGTAGGGTATCTGACAATTCATCAGTTTTGCATAGTGCATGCTGTACGTATCTCATGGGCTGGAGAGGAAAGTTATAAATCTGTTGAAACTGGAGAGAAGCTTGATCACATTTACTGAAAGAAGAGAGAAATCAGGAGACAGACCTATTCTTTAACTGAGGTTTTTGTGTTCCTGAGAGTTACTTCTGAATGAGGGCTGTGGAGGTGCCATTGACAAGACTCTGAGCAATCTGTGCTCAAGATACTCCGTTAGATGAGACACTTTTGTTGTTAATGGAAGTGAGTGAAAGAGAAAAAGCTCTCTGAAAGCTATTCATCCCCAATGTGGTCTGACAAATACCTAAGATGTTTCAGCACCACCTGTAAAACTCGTTCTCTGTCCTAATCTTAGAGAGCTTGACACACATCATTAGTTTTGACACAGTAATTTCAACCCTTGGTGTTTCCCACCCCCTCCCCCCTGGAAGAGTAGCCTTTTAGGCTTCTGGCTGCTGTTGAGCCAGATGTAATGCTGCTTAAAGTGCTTCAGTGGGTTCCCAGGCAGCACAAATCCTCTGGGCAGCACAAATTACCCCTGTACATGCAGAATTCAGAAGCATAATCATCACTCTTGATGCAGGCATTTCTTCCTATTCCTGTGTGGACCATATCTGGGGAGCTGGCTAACACTGGGCCAACTGCTTGGGGACTGAACTACTCTGTCATTGGAACAGAGCTTATGCAGCTATAAAGATACAACTACCTGTATCTGTCTTTGCTATGTAAGACTTGTAAATGGTGCTTTTAGTAATCCTTTGGTGAGAGTTGAGTGGGGATAGGGAAGTTGGAGGGCAGCAAAAATAACTAAGTGTGTGGCTGGTACAAAGAGCCTCTTCTGCGGTATTCAAAATTTTGCTGCTGAACTTAGTTTGATTTATGCCTTCTCATTGAGACAATAAAGGCAGGATGAGATGATCAGTATTCTCTCTGCATCTAGGTTAGAACTAGGTTATTTTGTAAAGCATTTTCAGATGTCTTGGCTGCAGAAGATGTTGCATAAATAAAGTTTTCTCTGTGTTGTGTGATATTATAACATGTGAAAAGATTTACTGTGCAAATACAGTAACAGAATGGAGAAGAATCATGATCTCCTGTTTGTTAGTACTATGCACTGTAAATATTTGCCGAGGTAGATTCTCTTGAGATTTCTTGTGGATTTCCCTAGGCACGATCATTGCTGGCATTCTTTGAGCGCCGTGTTTTTGTCAGAAGTAGACGTGCTTGTAACTTGTGATACTTCCATCAAAAGCTCAGCGGTTTCCAAAAAAACAATGCGCTTCCAAACCTAGCAAAATTCAGAAATATCTTTGTTAGAGCAGTCTTGAAGATGTTTTTGAAATGTCTGCCAACACAAGTAAGAGTGGCATGTTGGGCTATGAACAGTGTGCACAGTTGCAGGTACTTTGCTTCAAGGATACTCATGGGGTCCACTCAGGCTGGCATCTGCCAGCATGAGATTTTTTTCACTAATAATGCTGTGTTGCTAAGTCTGGTAACTTCTGCAGCTTAGTGGAGAATCACATCTACTTCTAAATAACTCTTGGGCTTGCATTGAGATACCTGGCACTGAAAGTGTGAACCCCTGTCACTGCAGAGTGTGGTCACTGAGGGCATGGTGCTTGCTGGTTCCTTCAAGTCTGTTTTAACAGGTAGACCTTAGACTTTGAGATGGAAGTACAATGAGTATATTCCCATTAAAAGATAAAGAAGGTAGATACACAGAACTTACATTATTTTAAAATACTTGCCTTCTTTTGGTTGGTTTTCAAGGAATTTTCTATAATTCAATATTCAAGCAGACATCCAAGTTAAGGCAATTTACAAGATAATTTGCTTTGTTTTGGAGAGGGAATGTCCAGTCATGAATCCTTTTAGGTAGTCATTGCCTCCATTTTGAGGAGTTTGAAGCTGAGGTGTCTGCTTTGGGTAAAACTTCTCTTTTATAGGCACTTTCCTTAAGAACATTCTGCTGTGACTCTGGTGGCCCTGTGAGCTGACAGCTGATCCAATTCAGCTTCTGTTTTTTCTGCTTGAACCTGCTGAGGCTTGTCTGGTGTACACCAGCCTGGCTGGATGGTCCAAGCTGTGCTTCACTTGCAATTTGATCGCAGACCCTCCCTACATACGCAGAAAACCACGTCTGTCTGGGGCACATGGAAGGAGAGTTACAAGAGCTTAAGACTGTTTCTTGTATGTAATGTGCTGCTTCAGAGCTATTTGTTGTGAACAACAGCAACTAAAGGATGCATTAATGGGCCATAAACCAGACTGTACATGAAGGTAAACTTGGAGACAGGTGCATTTATGCCTGCTGACCCTTGAAATCAGCTTATTGAATTCGGAGGCGTCTGTGGTGCTCTACTGCTCGTGCAGGGAAGATGGGTAAATTTCTCTTTAAAAGTATCTGTAATGATGTCTTTGCAGTGCAGTTCAGTATACTGGCAGTTAATCTGTGTGTCATAATAAATTTCCTTTTCTTCCTCTTCTGGTTTGCAGGAGTAAGTCTGTGTCTGTAACGCTGGATGTACTGACCACTTGCCTCAGACTAAAGAGGACTTGCTCTACTTTGGAATATGGTGCCTAACTTCTGCATCCCAGTACTCACTGTGCCAGCAGCCATCCTCTGCTGCTTGATGCTGCCTTTAGCAGGAGCGGACAGTAAGTAACATTTTGTTTTGGAAAGCTTGAATGCCTTGCAAAATTTCTTTTCAGAAATATTAAATCTTCTTTGTACTGGAAACTGAGGGCTAAGAGACAACTCCCCCCAGTCTTCTATTTCCCAGTGTGCGCATTGCAGATAAACAGGGTGTGTGTGAAGGGGCACAAGTAGAACTAAAAAGACTGACAAAATTTATTCAAGTGAAGAAGGAATTTCTGTAGTAGCTGCGAGATCAAAACCTGACAGTTTGATTTCTAACACGCACAGATGAGTAAAGAAAATTGGGGGTGGAGGAAGAAAGAAGTATTGGGGTCACAGTAATCCCTGTTACTTTTTCCTTGTTCTTTTGCCAGCTCTTGTAATTTGTGTAGCACTGAGACATCTCTCCTGAGTCAGCAGGCAGTTGCTGTTGGAGAAGGCTGTTGGGGAAGAGGGTACGAGTTCTTACCTTCTGGTGTAGCTCTCCTACACCTATATTTTGGCAGAATTGGAGTACAGTGTTTCCTTGTGGTCATACTTTTAGCTATTGTGTCCTTGCTGTTGTTCTGGTCGTCTTACAGAGTTGTTGTGACTGGCTTTTATTAGCCCCATCCAGCCAGGGGGAAATATGTGCACGAAGTGCTGTTGTGGACAGACTAGAGAAGAAAAACATGGCTAATGGTATCCTACTAAAAACACCTTATTGTAGGAATGTCTTAGGGAATGGGTTATGGGGAGAGCAGGAAACTTCATGGCTTTTTTGCATAATCTTGGGGTATGCATTTGTTAAGCAATCCCCAAGTATCTGTGCAGACCCCCTCCATTTTTTTTTAACCTGTACCCAGATTTTCAGTGTCCATGTCTGCACATTCATCACAGACTCTGGCAGTTGTAAATACTTCTTGCCTCTGAAAGTACCCAGGCTGCTGGGATGCTTGAGTTGGAGCTGAGGTGACCATGATGCACCTCCTTAGCTGCCAACAATCATCTCTTTCTCACTCCAGCTTTAGTCACCAGGCTTATAATTAGATATATTCTTGTGAAAGTTGAAATTGATTCATGTTGTTAGGAGCCTGGCTGAATGTAGGAAACAGACTGGGGGGTCCTAAATGTCCCTGACTGAAAGGAAGACCTAAATTTAGATAAGCTGGAGAGAAGAGTGAAGGAGGGATGAGAAGAAACGTACAAATTCAGTTATTTTGTAGTCATTAGGGATGACTTGCACAGGCAGCAGATTAATATGGGTCTGTATGAGTCTGAGCTGCCCAGTTAAACTGGGAGCAGCAGCTGTCTCCTTCTTTAGCTTACTTTGCTGTCTGCTGGTGCTGTTGAAAGGTGCTTATTCAGATCACTTTATGTCTGCACATTGCAGTCCATTTTGGAATCTGGCATAGAGAAATACTTGTTTAGTGTTCTGAGGTGTATAAAGATTCCCTGAAACTTATTATCTGCATACTGGCTCCTGCAAAGGAGAGAAGCATCACTCACATCACAGATGTGCAGAAGCTGGTGGAGCTCGAGATGTCCTAGGACTGTTTTTGGCCTGAGAATAACTTTTGGCAGAGGTGGTTTGCTAATTTGGTGGGACCCTTCCACATGCTTAAATTTAAGAAAATTGGCTCTGTTTCTGTGTGGTATCTCAGATATGGAATGTTTCCGTGTTGAGTAGCAAGCTTATCTGTATGTATGTCTTTTTCTCTGGTGCAGACAGACTCTGAATTGCTTTTTCCTAATCTGGAAGGCAGCTCTGGAGGGCACCGACCTTTTAACCACCACAGCCACCATGGATTAATCAAGGGTTTCCTAGGGTGGAAAGTGTTGCTCTGTGTATTTTAGCAACTTAGATTTTTTTCTGTCATCTTACCCACTGCATCTTGCCACTGACCCTCAGAGGCTGGGAGCTGTGTGGAAAGACCTGTCTGCACTGTGCCTCTGCAGGGGCAAAATGTAAGCCCTAAACCCTGCACTTTATGGAACCTGCCAGCAGTGATGCAGACAAGTGATGCCGTAGTGAATCTGGCATTGGAGAGTCCTGATTCAGGACTGTAGTGAAGGGCAAAGGGAAGATCTGACAGTATATGAACCCTGGAGCTTCCAGAAGAAGATAGGGAGGAATGCTGTGAAAGGAGCACCCCATGTGCATACTCCTCTGTTTCTTTAGTCCCCACAGCATCCTGTTGGCTTCAGTGAAAGAGCATTTATTTACACTGGTCTGGTTGTTCCAAAGAAATCACTGTGATTCTTCCTTTTCCCCATTGCATGCTGCTTGGAGTCAGTGGAGGGATGGGCAGACTCTGTATCTGCAAAACGTTCCTGCATTTCCCCCACTAAAACAACAGGATAATGGGAGCAGCATTATCCCTGTATTTTCTGGAGTCAGTCCCCAGATTGCTTCTTATAGGAGCAGGAAAAGGATGCCTGGAGATGGGCTGTGCTGCATCCCTGGCAGTAGCATGGCTTGTGGCTGGATGCTCAGGGAGCACCCAGCACTGGGTTTTCCCTACCTTCCCCACCTGCTGTTGTTGTAACACATCTCAGTGTCACTGCTGTAGCTTCCTGACAATTAAGGCAGCTGGCAGAAAGCTGGATGTTGGTGCCCAAGATAAAGCAGATTTAGTGTGTATTGCCTGGCAGAATTAGCGCCAGGCTGTGCCGGTGCCTCCCCTGGAATCCAGTTCATGGGAGCTGTGAAGAATGTCAGTGAAGAGGAGTTGAAAGGGCATCCAGAGTTTAAACTGAGTGGCAGTGTCAGAAAGAGGGGCTCGCTGGGTGCCTCCCTGGTAGCAGGAGGGGAGTAGTGGTTTCCAGGCTGCTCTGCTGGGTGCTGGGAGGAGAAGGTGAGTGGGAAGGGGCACATGCGCACCAACGGTGGATACAGAAGTGCTAATTTGGCAGACAGCTATTTCAAATCCTCCCCAGCTTTTACAGACTGCAATAAGAAACTATTAAATTTTCTCTGTGATCTGACTGTGTTTCTGTCAGGGTGACCCTAATTCCATTAGCGCAGCTCAGAGCTGATTCAGGATGGCTGTTTTACCCATTCTCTCTCAGCTTGCTTGTGTGGGTTTTTTTTATACATTCTGTGCTTCCCTGTCTGTCAGCTTTTGATTGTGCATGGGAAAAATGGCTTTGCAGATTTCAGTTAGTGTTCAGTGCAATTGTCAACTAAAAGATGCTTTTTTCCAACTTTTGAAAATGTGTCATTCATTATAATAAAGTAAAAACCAAAAAAATCCCCCCTCAAAACAAAATGCAGAGAAAACGGGGGAAAATCAATACTGTCATGAAAAATCAACAGTATCTTTTTTTGTTGTCTTGGTTTTTTAAAAATTAGGCTTTGTTTTTGAAGTCCTGGGCATGGGTTCTATTAACCAAAGGAAGAGACTAGGTGACCCATCCCAGGCCTTTTCTAACCACAGTATATTTTGGTTTGTCTTGCACGGAATTTCAAAGGGTGCAAGGAATAAAACCACTTCAAAAGTGACCTTGTAGAAGGAAAGAACTAAGGCAGAATTAGGCCAACTACCTGTGAATTGATACCTGGTAAACAAACAATTTGCACCTTTTGATTTCTAGAGGTAGAGCAAACTTGGATTTTATTTGAGGGGGTAGATGAAATGTGCCTCAGTGAGCTGGTGTGGTCAAGGCAGAGCTTGGACTCCCACCACCCCTGGCCAGAAGGGGCCTCAAGTCTGAAGTGTCTCAAAGCTGTCCTGCCCCTGAAATTAAGAGTTACTTTAAATCTGAAAGATGTGCATCTTGTACATGCAGCTTTTTTGGGTTTTTTTCTTCTTTTTTTTTAAATCAGTGTTTCTTGGGTGCTAATTGAATTGAGGAGACACATTAAAAAAAAAATAAAAAGGGAGGGTGTGGATGCTTGTGAAGGTTGGGAAAAGAGTACTAAGATGGCTTTTCTAGATATGGTGATGTCTCAAGTCTAAGAGTAGTAAGATGGCCTTTCTAGCTTCAGGTAGGCTCTGTTTTGCCAGGGATTTTGCATTATACCTGAAGTATTGTGCAGAGGCTTTGCATGGAAGAGCACTGGAGGGAACATTTGCTATGGCACTAGCTTCTCTTTGTCCCCTAACTCTGCTCTCTGCCCTTACTGTTCAGTGTTCCCAAGACCAGCTTCACTCATTTTGACTTCCTGATTCAGCTCTGCTGCCTTTGCTTCATAACATGAATGATGCCTCAACATCAGCTCAACTCCAAATACAACTGCTCCAGGCCACGCTGTGGGACAGACTTGATGTTGTGCAAGCCTGGAAAATGGCCAGACTGGGCAGCAGGATCCCATTCCAAAAGCTGGACACGAGGCTTCTCCACTGCTGCCTTGCATCAGTTTCTGTTTCCAGGTTTCCTGTTTGCATGCCTGTCCCCAAACACAGCATCTAGTGATTATGTGTAATTGATGCGATTGGATCCAGGTATTGCAGCAGAGGTAAATACTAATTTTCTGCAATTCTACCTTGACTAGCTTGACATATTCCATCAGCAAAAAGAACATGGAAAATACTGTTTAGGAAAACCCCTGTACCTGAGGCATTGAGGTGGCGTCATTAAGGGCCGGGTTGAAATATTAACTACAGTTATTGTGCAGTGTTTATTTTTGGTGTCCTTACTCATCATGTATAAAAATACATATATTTAGGTAGGAATGGATTCTGCACTTTCATATAAAATACCTAAATGCTGCCAGCTTGTAGCTCTGTGGTGCAGACATCAAGGTGGAAGTGATGCCGTGAGGACAAACATCATGTTTAGAGTAGAAAACAGATCTTTTTCTGCATTTATAGCCCTTTTAGCTCCAGCACTTGCAGAGGGCATGAATTTACTTGGGTTGCTATCCACAACAAATCACAGCATGATGATTTGTCTTTTTTATATATTGTTAAAGCCACCAGCATTCATCAATCAACGTCAGCTGACAGGTCAAAGGTCTGCTTAGCCCTAAATCCCTCATCCAGTAGTGGTGAGTACGAAGACCTATGGAGGATGTAAAAGCAGAATAAATATATAG